TCGTCAAGACGTAGCGAGTTAAAATGAAGAGTTTGGAGGAACTCGGATTCTCTCATGAAACCTCCGAGTGGACTTGCCCAGCCTTCGCTTAATACATGCATCCATTGCAAGTCAATCGCCGTCAGCTCAACACGTGGCAAATCCGCCGCCTCGTGTTTCTTCTCTCGCCGCTTTGGCTCTTCCACGATGAGCTCTACAAGCTTACCACCGTCGGGAGCGATTAATCCGGCTCGGATTGATCCTACGCGGCGGCGTAGGGATTTGGAAGGGAAGGAAACCGCGGCGAAGGGGAGATCGGAGTTTGGAGATGATTTGGTTAGTGGTTGAGAGAGGAATGGAGTTTTGCTTAAGACGGCAGCCATTGAAGCCATTGTTGAAGGTTTTGTTAGGCTATGGCTGCTTCAAGCTCTAATGGAGAGAGATAGAGATTTGGTTTGTTCCCAATTCAATTGGAAGTGAAAATTGGTTTTTATAGAGTTTATAGTAACGAAGGACCGTATCTTGGAATAATATTATGTACCTGGACAGAGATTAGTAATTAATTAATTTGATTCACTGTGTAATTAAAATACTAATACAGTGTGTTAGTGTGACGTTTATAATAACGAGGTTACCTTATTGATATGATGCAGAGTCATTTTATAATTAAATAGTAATATTCTTTCTTTAAAATAATTTATTCAGAGTTCATAACCAACTAGTTTGTATTATTATCGTTGTTATGTCATAATCCAAATTTTAATACGATACTCTGAGCGATCAAAGAAAAAAACATATTATTATTTTGCCTGTTTTTACTTTAGACTTTAAATCCTTCTGTATTATTCAATTGAATAAGTGACATAAATCTATGTACAAATTGATTTTCCCTTCTTAAAATAAAAAATTGCTCACCATATGTGGCAAAAACCAATGATACTAACTATGTATTTCCACTAATTACATTCTTATATATTCTTACTAATGATTTAATAACTTCAAACGCTTTAAACATGCCGTTTTGCTAATAAATTATATTTCTGTAATCTATTTTGAATTTTAGATATAATCGAATGATTTTTTTTTTTTTTGGGATAAAGATAAAGATAAAGATAATCGAACAAAACTTTGAAAAATAAAACCACATTTTTTCCAATATCTATTTGTGTTCATATGATTAGGTAAATGATGCAATTCTTTCATATTCCCATCTCAAGGGAAAGTCCAGAAATTATATATTTTTGGACATATTAATATAAGGATTACGGAATATTCAGAGTTGAAACAGTAATTAGAGATCAAATATAAATAGTAGTGATGTTTTTAGCAAATTAAAAAGGTATTAAAAAGTTAGGAAAGATGAGGTAAGGAAGGTGGACTGATGCTACAGTTGAATAGATCCAAGAATACGGTCAGGTTCGACCACCCATTTGCTTATTACACAAACCACTTGCTAATAGAATATTTAAACCACTCGATCTGCCACGTCACATCTCGAATATTTGTCCCCTCTTATTTTACTTTTTCATTTTCAGAATATTATTTTGCGTCAATCTTTAAAAAAAGAAAAATTAATGGAGATCACGAAATATGTCGACGTATTTACGATTTATGAGTTCAAATTGTTTTTACTGCTTTAAGCACCACTTGATCAATAAAATGTATAATTTCTTTGTAATTAATCTTTTCTAGGCTTAGCACGTATAAAATGTAATATATAGTTTTTTTTCTTTCTTTCTAAAAATGTAAATATATATAGTTTCCCAGAGAAAGAAAAACAATATCGAAACTCGAAAGTACTAATTTGATAAGAGGGATAAATTTGATACGATTATAGTAATTTATTACGTTTAATTTAGAACATGTATTTTACATTTTAGCCGACTCATTGATTATACTATATATAAAAGCTCCTCAACTTTGACCTGACCAAGTGACAATACCAATTTGGATTCTTGACCCGAAGCTGCCACGAAATATGGAGTGTTTGATAAACTGACAATGATGTTCCTCAGGGCCACGTGGTAAATATTGTCAAAACTGGAAAGTTGGTAGACTGGTAGCTTTAGATGAATAATCTCCCAATCATTTCTTAACTATGTTTTCACTTCATCAAATTGTTGAATTCGTAGTACTCCAAGGTTACAACAAGTATACTCTTCTTATATTATTCGAGTTTTGTAAAATCATTTGGTGTCTTAACTCAAAGATTTGACTAATTCAAATTTTGTAAATACTTTAAGGTAATTAAAGGAATTGGATAATGTAGGACTTGATCAGTTTATTGGTGGCTGGGACCTCACATTCAACATGTGCCAAAATTAAACATTCATGATCGACCTACCTGCTTTTCTCTCATAATCATTATCCGGATAATTTTTTTAAAAAAACTATGCACAGACATATTTATTTATGAATTATAAAGTTTGTATCATAATTTCACAATTAACACGTTATAGTTTTCCTAAAGATGATCCATATAAATTGAAGAAGAGGTGATAAAGAAAATATGATCGAAGTCTCTTGACTAATCCGAGACTCCGAGTGTCCTGAAGAAAAATAAAAGAAGGAACATTCTAACTCCAATCCAAATGTCTTTAAGAAGACTTCATCAAATTATTACAAATGAAACGAATGGACATCATACGGATACTTTTTCTAACGGATGAAGAAGAACATAATAAAGACAAGGCTGCTTCTAACGCTGATTCAATAAGAACAAAACTTGTTCGATCCCGGCCTTTGGATCTCAATATGAAGACTTTATCGGTATACCTATGGGTCTTATATAAGTAGCAATGACATAACCGATGACTAGGCCCAAGTATTTGATGAAAAATTAGGCCCAAATTTCGTTGGCTTAACTCTAAAATCCCACTCATTATGCCAAGGAGATATGCTCGGAATGTTTCTTGATTTGTGAAGGTAATTGAAAATTGCACACGATGCCTTTATTATTTTTTCAATAATATTTCTAATATCACTAACACACACAAAATTAGATTATTACATACATGTAATTACGAATTTTGGAAGAAATTTACATGTAATTACGAATTTTGTATGATATTTGCATTTATTGAGTTAGATGCCAATAAGCTGTACTTCGACCAAATTCATCAGTCTAGCTTATAAAAACCCACTAAAATGAGTTTCTTTACAAAAAAATTCGATACGGAATTTTTTTTTCGTTTGAAATTATATTGGTAAGGAAGTTTCATTTTAATGATTCATAAACTGAGCTGGTTTGGCTTATTTGAAGATTTTCTGTAGGCAATTTTATATCTCTTTTAAAAATATAAATCTCTAAAAAAAGTTTTAATTTTCTTTTTTAGAAATCTCTAAATTGGTTGATATTAAGCTTGAAAATTTTCCCTTAATGTATTTTTTGGGTTAGACTTTGCTAAATCTTACGATGATCCTTAATATAGTCTCTTGCTTTAAAACTTAAAAAGCTTTCTTAAAGAAAATAAAATGTCTAAGTCATCTTTTAAAACGCACACACACACGTATATATAAACGTACGTGATAAAAGAAAAAGGCAAAGAAATGCTGGACCTTTTCTTGGAGAAGTAAAAGTAACGGTTGGAGAAAATTGAATGTGATACGGAAGAGAGAGTGATACATTTTGGTGTAAATATATCCACAAATGTAATTATGTACATACAGACGAATTTCTTTTGTAACTGACGAACTAAAACCATTAAAGGAAAGTCTGAAAGAGACGAAAGCAACTTGGAGAATCTCATTTTTAAATTTGACAAAAAAAAAAAAACAAATTGTACATTCGGTGGAGTTTTCCCATACATATAGAAAAGCCAAAGTTTCAAAATCCCATTAACCGAATCATATCATCCCTTTAATAGACGTACCTATTAGTTGATGACGATCGATGAGTTAAAAGCAAAAAAAAAGAAGAATGATCGTTTTTGTACTTGGCTACTAAAGAAATTTTGATCAAGCATGAGGCCGAGAAATGTTTCGATAATGAACAAAACTTATATTATTAACTTTGATTTTTACAATTAAAATGTAGTGATTTTGAGTCTTGACACTAGTTTATGTGTATTATCTTAAACATGCGAAGGGGACCATTTCCAGCAATGAAACAGTAAAAATTGACTTATCCGTATATCTCGTGTTTTCTTGGGTTTAATTTGAAACACTATGTGATTCTTCCATCACTCACCATGTTTCTGGTTATCTAAATACATCTTTAAGATCCATGAGGCCATCCAAATTACAGAAAGCATCCATTTTTTTCCGAGGCCAAATCCGAATGACTCCAAAGCCTAAAAGTCTTTTGCACAACATTTTTCTTAGAACAACCATCATTATTGTTCTAGTAAACTATTCAAAAAATTCAGATTCTTTATTTTTCTTCAAATTCTGATTAACAGCATATCTGTGGTTAATCTATCAGGAAGTAGAGTTTGAGCTCCGGGCAACTGCTATATATAAACTCCAAAAATCTTTAGTCGAACTTATATAAACTACATATGTATCAATAGTGTACAACTTCAGTTTCAACTTCTTCCCAGAAACCCTAAACTAACATAAGCCAAAAAAAATAAAAAAATGTACATGAAAGTCTTTTCTTAAAACAGATATGAGTAAAAAGAAGAACTAGGAAGTCTATCTTGAGATCCCCAAAAACGTAATTATAGATAATTAACTGAATTTGCTAAATTCCATAATCTTTGTAAAAAAAACAAAGCTCCTCTTTCCTAGCTTCATCATAAGAAGATTTTCACATTTATAACCCAAAAAAATATACTCAATTTGTCAAAGACCAAATTAGGGTTTCCTAAAGTCATGCAACTCTATAACCCTAACAAAACATAAATTCTTCAGATCCACATACACACAACAATATAGTGAAAATTCTTATGAAAAAGAAATATATATAGCCTCAGAAAGAGAAGTAAGCTCACAAAATCAGACTGAAGATTGAGAAACAAAGTGTCTTGAAAATCAAACTAAAAAAGATATAGAAAATTTAGGGTTTATAGAAGGGTGCGACAGTCAACGGGTGAAACTGCGAACATGATCTAATCGAGACTGATCTCTTAACCATCGTCATGAAACACAACAAAGGATAAAGAAAGCTAATTAGATCATGCTGGCAGCTTCATCAGATGCCGGTGCACCATAGACTTCACCGTAGCAGATCAAGAAAGAGAAAGAGAGATTTTTCTGTTCATCAAGTGAAGAAGAAGACGAGTGTTTATATAGAAGGGATAAGGAGGAGAACGTGAAGGAGAGAGATAGAATAATGTTTTTGAGGGATCAGTTTCGGAATTTATGGAGAGTTTAAGGGTCGAAAGTGAAATAAAATCGAGAGAAAGAAAAAAAGAACGAGTGACAAACAAAAGGCGTTAAAGAAAAGTGGTCCAAAGTAGAACCGTGAATAAAATTGAATAATGTCACGCCGATTCTCCGAGCCTCATGCACTTCTCTTCTCTCATCATCTTACAGAGACAGATTAGTTTTGTGTGTTGTTTTTGCTTGTTTCTGTAACTCTATTAATTACTTCTCTACTACATTGATGGGGACCCTCTTTTTTTCTTTCTTTCTTTCTTTATTTTATCTTCTTATTCTTGGTTTTTGGAAAGAAAGTTTTGTTTTGATAACCAATAATTCCAATGAATAATTATTGATTGTTTTCTATTATATAATGTGATTAATGTTCTAGAAGATGTTAGATTTTAATCGGATGTGCATGTAATAACATGTTGTGTAAAATTTCTACCACTTTGACTTGTTAATCAATGGATGAATTTTCTGTTTTTATACTTTCATATTGTAAATTACTATGAAAATTGTTAATATTGGATATCAAACATTTACCTGAAAAGATTGGACGATTTGTAATTTTGCATCCGGTCTTGATTTAATTAAGTTAATTTAATTTCATTCATAATAGTACGAAATATATGGTTTATTTATATTAACTGTTTAATTATATATATGGTCAGAATTATGGACTATATTTTCTATGTCGGAGAGAAAAAAATGACAGTTTTCTTGTTGTCCTATTTGATTGATACTAGGCTTTATTAGACTCATCATTAGGTTTAATATAGTTTTCAAAACTCCACCGCTGAGACATTATCTTTATGATTCATATTCAATATTATTAAGACCTAAGCCATGAAAAAGTGAGGTTAACACATGCATAAAGTATAACCTACGGGAACTCTTAGACTATATAATACTATGTGAAGCATTACATTTTTTTCTGGCCTCAATATAAACTAATCGTGCAACTACTTTATAACTCACTTACATACCAATAAATAACAGTTTAACTCACACAAAAAAACATTAAGAATTTTTGTGGAGATATTTTTATAGTTTTTATTTATAAGACGTTATAGAAATTTTCTTAGGAAAAGTAACAAAAGAAAAACCTTGTATGTGAGTGGTATTATAACCAATACATGTGATACCTAAGTGAGCTCATATGGAATATTCTCATGATATATAAATGAGATTTATATATTTTTTAATCTCTAATTATTGACTCAAGTGCCAGTCTTTGTCACAAAAATATTTTAGTTATCTAAAAGTGACATATATAATTATCTATGTACATACAGTATCCATGCTTAATTACCGACTTCACATGTTTTACGGCCATTTGTTCTTGTAATTTACCACAATGCCAATTACCGCTGGTATAGTGATTAATAGCTCTAGACGTTACAACTTTTTTTTTTAATATAGAAGATGTAATAAATAAAGTATCTGAAACTGGTGTTATTTAATTATTTATTGCTGTAAATGTATAGAAAGAAAAATCGAATAATAAAACAACTTTCCTCAAAAAGATTCCTTATCACTAACAATGGGATGATACCATTTCTATGCAAAAACTACCTAAAATTCGATAGGTTCTGGGCAAGCTGTTGGTTTGTGACAGCTACGCGATATTGCAAGATATTGAAAATTATTGATATGGACAATCTTTGACAACGACTTTTTGTATTTGGTAGAGATAAAAAGAAAAAAATCTGATTGGTCTAGAAGTTTTTTCTATTTCATTGTTCCTTTTTTAAGGTTTTAGTTTGGTACCAATAAGTCAAACAACACTAACTGCAAAAGTAAGGGTAAAGATGTTTACTCTTATAAGCTTCAAGCTGCTGAAGTAAAATTTCTAGTTTAGTGATTTGTCACGGTCTACTCGAAACTTAATCCTTTAAATTTGTTAATGATTTGACTTTTTTGCGTAAAAGAATTAACCTATATTGGTTTAATCATACTTCATCCGTTTCCTAATAGTGAATATATAAAAGGTTGAAGAATTTCATCGTACGTAGTGATAGTGAACTATAAGCTATGCTATATTTTTGTACGAAACTTACATAAACAAGTTTAATTTTGAAGCGATATTGTTCGTGTACTAAAGCATATGTACGTTAATTCCTTCTTCTTTTTTTTTGTTAACACCGTTTATATGAGACAAAATCAGCTATGAGATTACTCGTGTATCAATTCTCTAATTAATTAAAAATAGTATAAATTAAATAATATAGTTCGATACACGAATATAATTGCGAAGAATAGGCATACAAATTTGTCATACATGTTTCGATATGGCTCACGAGGAGGCTGATGCAACAGTTTGATGTATACGTATGCAAATTGAGAAGTACTTGATCAGACCTATATATGTGATGCTCGAACTTATCTTTTTGTTTTGGATCATCTATCGAATACAATGGTACTATAATTTAAATGTTTTTTTTCTTCTTTTTCTTTAGTATCAAAAGCAACGTTAGATGCTAAATAAAGAGTTAGTTGATTGTGATGACTGATAGTCTGATAATATCATTAACTTTGCACCCGAAGTCAAATAAAAGTGTTCATATTTATAAATTCCAACCAACGTTAATAAGCCACACCTAATCGGTGATTGCCAACAATATTATAATAAAATTAAAAAAACTACGACTAAAGTTAATTTGCTATAATTTTGTGGTATGTTTTAAAAATAAAGTTCTTTAGTTCTAATATCATGAAAATTCAGTGTACTGTAAAATATGTAAAAAGGTTTTAGTACAATTCTTTTTTGTATATAACGGCAAAGTTCAATACATATTTTACTATTGATTTTTTTTAAAAATAAAATAACAATTGCTACCAACTTTTTGAAGCATATTGATCGCAACTTAATTATAATTCTTCTTTTTTTTCTTGGAAGATTAATAAAACCTAATTTCAATGTGGAACAAATAAATGTAGAAATATTGTTATCACAAACTAATATATGATATTTTTTAATATTTTCATATATACTTTTGAGCTTCTGATGATATAACAGTTTTCATTAAAATACAAATTGTCGTGTACTAATTTTTCTTTTGTTCAAGTATGTGATAAAAATATGTTGCAAAATTGCGAGTTATTATAATGGTACAAATATGTAGAGAGAATACATGAGAAGAGTTAAAAGAAGCATGCTTAAGCCAACAGAGAGTGGATCCAAATGTTGCTTTCCAGCTTTATACAAACGTATCACCCACATTACTGCCACTGCTACATATATTGAAGGAGAGAGAGATGATGATCATAATGATAAATCGATGTCGATGATAAATTGATGATGATGGCTCCGGTATGTGTACCCTAGGAGTTGTAGCTAGCTAGCTAGGACCATGTATATACATACATACATATATTAGTGTTTTTTGTAACTTGTACGTACCTTACATACAGTATGGAGTTTACTAAAACGGCAACGTTTGGTGGGGGTAGTGAATTCGCAAGTGGGGATGAGTCTATGTAATAGAAGATGCAACATGCAAATGGTCCCCTTTCTGTTTTTATTTAAAGAAATTAGTGTTTACTGAGGAGGAAACATCCCATTTATAGATTCACACCCATAAAAGCAAACCACTTCTCCTTCTTTTTATTTCCCCATGATATTACTTCGAGAATATTTTGAAAATTTGAAGTGTACATTTAGAGATTGTGTACTTTGAACACTCATGTCAAATGCATCTAAATATATAAACTCCAATTTAAAATAATCGTCTAAACCTAGAGTGCCATTTGTTTAGCCATTTGTTGGTCTTCATTTCTCATGCTTTGATTACATGTACCGGTTGATTCATGTGAAAAATCATGTGCATAAACTAAGAAATAGCTAGCACATAAAATTTTGATTTAGGTTGGATATTACTATGTTCACTTTAAGAGAAAAAAAAACTTATGGCAAAAAGTGATGATGGTATATGAATATGATAATCAAAGTGCATATGTGAAGTGAGAGGCAACTGTAGAGTAATATAATAAAATCCAAAGAAAATTTTTAAATATGAGAAAAAATTATATAAAAAGGTTCTTTTGTAATCCACTTCTTTTGATATAGGGAGATTCGTTGAGCATCCATGTGCTCTTTCAATCGACACTATTCTGTCTGTATCTAGCCAACCACATATACCTTTACACTAGAGAACTTCGATGATTCTTTTTCAAAATCAATGTGATATAATATAATTAAGCATATATGCATAAAAAATGAAGAAGAATGGTAGAGTCATGTTACTTAAGGTCATGGTGTGTAAAAACATTGATACTTTACAATATATGAGTTGTGAAGTGCTCTTAAAGTTATAACATCCGGTTCTACGTATTGACCTAGAACTAGAAGAATCGTTTTTTAGTCCAAATCAAATCAAGTCGGTTCTTTATCAGTTTTGTTGTATGTGAATTAATTTGAAAATATTAGCTATGATCTTAGCTTGGGTTTTTGTTTCTAAGGGTTAAGGATCATATCTCTTTGTCAAATGACATGTGGTCTATATGTCATGAATTAGGCACCGCTATCTTTTACTATTGATTCGACGACATTGGGACTCCTCACTACACTTATCTTAAAAAAACTCAAAGTTGGTGTTAATGGCTTGTCACCATAAACTTTCATGAGCTCTAACAAATTAAACTTGAACTTGATCAGGTCTCACAATATATACAATTTCGAGGGATAAATATTTCAAAAGGATAATATGATAGTTGGTAGAAATGTATAGTTTCTAGTAATAATAGAGATCGTTGGTTAAACTCCCCAACTTTTTAAAATTAATTTGATTAGTGGATCCGCAAACAAATATTAGATTGGGCCTATATGCATCTATATTAT